ATATTTAGTGGCAACATTCTATGAATGAATGACTCTCAGCATGTGGCATATAGGCGGATCTTGTTGGCTATAAATCCCGTACAAGCGGATTATTGAGGGATTTGACAAATTTCCAATATGGACTTGAAACGTGACGGAATAGATTTATGTAATTTAACAATTGTGTTCTAACACTTTATTGGGAAATGGGGTATACTAATTCATTACAGATTCATCTAAAAATCTTGCAAATGGGAAAATGCAGAGGAAAACATCCACTCCTTAGACGAGCAAAGTTTGCAAAATGAATCACATTCAATTTCGTTCAGAACTTGTGAAATCAAGCTCTCCAACCGGAAGTATGGATGAGGCGTGAGCGCAATTCTTCAATAAGTGACTAATTTATTGCTAGCGCTTTTAAGGGCGACATCGAATTCGAATTCTGCCGGCAGAGGCCTTGAATATAAATACATACTTCCTTCAGGAAATGCCAAAATGTAGAAATTAAAAAAGAAGCATTTCGAAAACTGCAGAACTCCAAAATTTCTGTCTATGTAGGGTAAAAAATGCCGAATTCAAATGGAGAGAGCTCTGTACACATTTAGTTTATAAAAAAGTAACAAAAACTCATTTCATCACCTTTTTTGGAGGGACAAATAATCAAAAGGGGTAACAAACATCAAAATGTCATTGCACAGCTCTAAATTCTCTAGCTACTACTTTTTCTGAATGGATTGGCGAAACGCCAAAAAGGGTGAATTTACCGATACTCAGCTTAAACTGGTGGAACTCAATTTCTGTTAAATATGTCCCCAAAATATATGTAAACTCGTCTTTTCACTGACCAAGGCCTTCTCTAAGTAACACCAATTGAATTTCGCAAATTCCACTCACCTTCTGGTTGCCAATTCGGTAGGGGATCACCCCATCGACTTCGAATTTTTCGCGGTGGTCGATCCAGTTGATCCGCTAGTACACCGTGCATACCAGCAGTGGACATTTCACGTAAGTTCATCATCGATTTACTGGATGTATATGCTGGTGGATCACGACGTTTCGAGATAAAATCGGATTTTGATTCGTCGTGATCTGACGCTTCTGAAAAATTAAACTTGATATGTATGAAAGTTCAATTTTTAGATTAACAAACCTCCTGGAGCAACGTCCGATGGCCCGACGAGGTTACTGGTAGTACGTCGGGTTACGTGCGCCGGTTCAGCAATCAACGAACCACTCCTGCAAGAGAAATCTCATTAGAAATTTATGAGGACCTATACACGGCCTTTCAGAAGAAAGAGTGATTGAGAAAGATGAGTAATGGAATGTGAACGTAATGGGATTGCAGGGTTAACGGAAATTAGCGGACAACTCTCTTATGAAAACAAGATTACATATTAAAAAAACATGGAATTTCAGAATTTCTTGGGGCAATGTGGTTTAAATACGTTTCTTTTGAGAAAATCTTCTAGAAAAGTCATAACATCTCCTATTTTGGTGCACCTTCATCAAAATCGTTTTTATTTTTCTCTTGTTCTTCGTTCTTTCCTCTCATCATTCCCATCTTAAACCAAAGACCAACTATATACCAGGCCAGGCGCCCAGCACATTACGAACTTGATAGTGTATGGAACCAACACCTGGCCAGCGAGAACAAGCTCGCAAAGCGCAAAGAACAAAAAAACAGAGAAACAGCTGAAGGGTCATTTCGTAAAGATACAGAAATCTCAAAAGAATAGTATTTGGTAGGAAGATAGTCCTTCGGTTAGCATGAAAGGCTTCACGAACAAATAATGTGTTACAAAATACTCTTAACCCATACTCTCGTCGTAGAGTAAAAATGGCAATTTTTTAATAACCCTTTTCTCGAAGACACGAAATCAGATTTAAAAAGCTTTCTATGTACGCCAGCAAAATTACTTCAAAACACCCTTTTATGAGTAATCTATGACTCATACTGTTCATAAACCAGTTCACATACTTACTCTTATTGTATCAATGTTTCATTTGATAATTACTAAATAGCAAAACATTTCTTAACAAAAAAAGATAATGTCATAATTAAAGGCGGTGGCGAAAACAGATCGCCTAAGATTTAGAAAATACTCTTTGAACAGGTAAAAAAAGAAGAATTCTCTATCTCAATGAAAAACTACGCATGTCCTCACGGCGACCAGTTCTCGCGCAGAAGATCTAATAAGTATGAGTT